CCCCTCCTCCCTTCCCCCCCCCCCCCTCTACTGTTGTGACGTGCCCCGGCCACATTCCGGCCGTAAGCACCCGCAGTGTAACTTGAAACTTTGGAATTTCTTTAAAAATAAAAAATTACACTGGGCCGCATTACGAGCTGACCTGGGCCGCATGCGGCCCTCGGGCCGCAGGTTGGACAAGCCTGCTGTACAGTATTGCGTTCACTACGGAAATATATTTCCATGGTGTCCTTACCAGAACTGGCCACCGGGGGGAGCCAGAGGCTATCATCCCTGTTTTTCAGCCTCTGTGGGTGCTCTAGTTGGAACTGATCCCTCATGGATACAGGGGTCCTACTGTAGTCAGTCATAACTAGAATAGGCCCATTGGATCAGTGGGGACTGGGTGGAGTCAACTGCTCCATTTCCACTGATTCAATGTTCCTACTCTAGTTGCGGCTGACTACTGGATTTCAGCCACTGTCTGACACCTTCCAGGAGCTACCAGCACCTGTCATTTGAAACATCTTCCTCATTCTACCTAATGGTCAGGCCAGCCCTGCCATGCAATTTGATTTCAGCTGGGTTGTTTTTGCTAGAGTTTTGGTGTATGGTTGGGTGGGTATGCCTGCAGGATCAGATCCATACATCGTGTGCAACTTCCTTATGCCAAGAAGACATGCTGGAGTAAGAAAAATGAGGAAAAAATGGGGTGGAGAAGAGCCATGAATGCCGCCCGGAGCTCCTTGGAGGAAAAGCAGGGCATAAATGTAACTAACAAATAAATACCTACCAAAGTGTTTTTCACTATTTATTATTTCACTATTCCTACAGGCTGGGAATGCTTACTACATTCTCATCTGGAAAGCTTATCTGGTCAACTGCCCTTTGGGAAGAAACTCAGAACACAAAGACCAACAATAAATATCCGATCAAAGAATTTTGCTTCCTGGGTCAAAAGATAAAGTGTTTGCTCATTCATAGAAAACAGTCTTATGTGCTCCTACAGAAGGGTGGGAGGGAGAAACGGCCAAGAAGCAGTTCACACAAATTTCATGCATGATTGCTCACCTCTTCAAGTCCGGCAGGGAGTGGTTGGAAGAAAAAGATGGAGCTGCAAGATCAAAGGGAAATAGTGAAATGAAGAGAAACTGTCATGGCAGTAGGACTGAATGAGACGCCAGCCTCACAGAACGAGGTGGTGGGAATAACCAAGTCCAGCCAACTTTAAAATATATTTAGGCAATATGTTGAGAGCTAAGAGTCCTGTGGAGAAACAAACGCTTTATGGCCACTAAACTAGGAATTGAATGTTGAAACAAGGTTTATTTAGGTCAGGAGCAAGGAAAGAACAGGCCTTGAGATTTTCCTGGACTGCAACCTTCATAGCTATCTGTGAGGACTTATGAGGCTTGCAATCCAGCAATATCTAGAAGATGTTTTGTTTTATCATCCCCCCAATCAGGGAAGCCATTTTTCTAATCCAGAAATGGGCAGCCTACGGCCCTAAGGCCACCGATGGCTCTCAGAAGGATATCAGTGACTCTTGGCCCATCTCAAAAGCCCAGTTGCAGCCTATTAAGTGGAGACATGGAGAAAGAAAGAAGGAAATCATTCAGCAGAAAGCAAGAGATGGAGAAAATGTCTGAGCTCCTGATGTATCTCTCTGGCCTAGTCCACCACTAGCACATAGGCCTTAACAAATTATCTGCAAGGGGATACAGCTCTTGGCCGACAAAAATGTGGCCCATCCCATTCAAATCCCATAGGCTAGGTCCAAACTAAATTAGTTGCATTCATTTCCCACCAAAATTTCTGGAAATGAAATCATAGCTAACTTTTCCCACTCATTTCAATCGCACTGGGAACCAAGCTTAGCGTCAGTGACATCCACCCAGTTTGCCCTTTTTAAAAGAACAGAATATTGCCCATGGAAGATCCAGTTGGACACATGTAACTACAAATGTGTGGGTGCACCACTTTGATGCAGGAGTGAAGGGGGAGTACTCAGCTTCTGGGGAACGTTTTTCCCTTTGGGACAGGGAAAAAGAAAATCCCGTGCTTTGAATTTTAATCAAGAGTAGATGCCTGATCCTCTCAGGGCTGGTGTCTAATAAGTTTGTACATGGCTAAGGGAATGAGAACAGGGAAGGCTTCTGAGCCCAGGGCTACTGATTCCCAAGGAAGGCCACGTCGTGGCCATCTCCTCTTCTCAGTGTCTCCAGCAGCAGGGAGAACCAGAGAGGAAGACAAGAGCCCATTTTCCCCACACAAAAGCCCAGATTCAATGAGGACAAGTGGAGACAGCTACTCACAAGGAGGACGTCTCAGCACCCTGAATGTCTGGGGGCGAACAGTAGTGGGAGGCCTGTGGGGAAAATGAAAAAAAAAAAGTCCAGGCAAACGTATTTGAACAAACACGCATACATGTGCAATTGGGGAAGACTGATCTATGCTGGCTGTCAGTAGGCCTTTAGGGTTTCAGAAGACCCTTTGCCATCACTGATCCCTTTAAAAAAAGATGGAGACACAAATTTCGTTGTACGACCCATGCGTGTGCTCTACCACTGCACTATTGTCCCTACCCTGTTTTGGTGGTAATTTTACCGACATTTGGGTAAGTTCTAAGAATGCTTCCAGCAAGGGGTGGTAAGCAGACCACAAAGTAAAGTAGATGAGGACTCTTATCCCTTTCCTACTGGTGCAGAAAAGAAACCTTAAGAAAATATTAGGGAACAGAAATTCCCTCCTTTGCATCTGACACAGAGGTCATCATATATCTGCTATCCCTCTCTAAGGTTTCCCATTCTACCCCCGCTTTGCCCCAAAACAAGACAGATGGACTCACTTTTCTTCA